AACAAAAGTACCAAGAAGTCTCAGGGATGGCTCTGGCAGTAAATGGTTACCTCTGGAAACACCATTTCTGCTGGGGGATTCAGAGAGGAGATTAAATGTGCAGTGAAATGAGGAAAGATGAAGAAATGAAGATTTCCAAGAATTTCACTGAAGAGAATGAGAAAAGCCCAGCTCAAAAAAACGGGATGTTTCTGAAGACAGCAAACGAGATGTTTCACGTAATAATGTGGCTCAGTTAAACAGAATTTCAACAAGAAAATTCTGTGAGGATGGACAAAACTGTCCAAATCAATTTTGGAATTGCAGTTCTTGTATTGACAACAGTAATGGCCGGCAAGTCACAGTGAAGAAACATACAAGTGGGCTGGAGAGATGGCACGGAGGTTGAGTAATGGTTGCTCTTCCAGAGGACCTGGGTTCAATTCCCAGCAACCACATGGCAGTGCACAACTGGCTATAACTCTAGTCCTAGGTCAGTAGTTCTCTACCTGTTGGTCACAACCCCTTTGGGGAATCAAACGACCCTTTCACAGGGGTCGCCTAAAACCACCAGAAAACACAGACATTTACATTATGACTCACAACAGTGGCAAAATTTTAGTTATGAAGTAGCAACAAAAATGGTTAGCATCACATGAGGAGCTGTATTAAAGGGCAGGGCATTAGGAAGGTTGAGAACCACTGTTCTATGTCATCCAAAGCCCTCTTCTGGCCTCTTCTGGTACTGCACACAAGTGGGACAGACACACACAGGCAAAAGACCATACACATAAAATAAAGAGACATTTTAAAAAGAAAAAAATAGCTTGCTTTCAATTTCTACTTAACGTAAGTTATACTTGCCCATATATTTTCCTCAGCTCATTCATATTCTTTAACTGAGTATGACATCCAGAACAAGCTAGAAAGATAGATACCTGAAATGAAAGACTACTTCCTCCCACATCCTGGCTCTTTCAAAATCAGTATATACATCTCTTAACTTAATCTCTTACTGCTCATAAAAGAGAAAGTATCACTTTCAAGCTCTGTGTTTAATATTCTCTGTCTCTATCTGCAGTACACAATCTACGGGAACTAAACAATAAGGCTAGGAAAAGTTGGGTGTGGGGGCACAGGCCTGTTCCTTAGGAGACCAAAGCAGAAATGGCACAAGTTCAAGGCCTGCCTGGATTGCAAAGTCAGCCTAGACTACTGTCTGAATGAGTATTAAAAGCTGGGACGCTAAGTCTGTGGTACACTTTTCCACCAGTTCAATCTCCAAGAAACTTAACAAAGGGAGGCAGGCCAGCCAGCAAGCCAAAAAGGGCTTCAAAGCTCTCCCTCCCTGCTGCCATCCTAGTCACTATCTGCAGTAAGCTGTCAGAGCCAGATTAAACAGCGATTTTTTTTTTCATTAAAGCAATGCGTTTTAAAACCAGCTAAATTTTGTTTATATATCAAAGTAGCTGGAGAAAGAATAAAAGCTTTCTCATCACTCGGACAAGTATAAAAATACACCATGTCGCTGGGCAGTGGTGGCACACGCCTTTAATCCCAGCACTCGAGAGGCAGAGCCAGGTGGATTTCTGTGAGTTTGAGGCCAGCCTGGTCTAAACAACAAGATCCAGGACAGGCACCAAAACTACATAGAGAAACCCTATCACCATGTCACTTTTTTTTTTTTTTTTTTTTTTTTTTTGAGACAGGGTTTGTCTGTGTAGCTTTGGCGCCTTTCCTGGAACTCACTCTATAGCCCAGGCTGGCCTCAAAGTCACAGAAATCCACCTGCCTCTGCCTCCCCAGTGCTGGGATTAAAGATGTGCACCACCACCGCCCGGCTCACCTTCTCACTTCTTAAGAGCCTAAAAATATTTTCAAAAAGATGGCACTTCCATCCTCTTCCTGCAACAGAGGTATTCAGGTCAAGGAAAGACTTAGTGCACACTCCAGAAGCCATACCTAACTGGAGATCTGAAATGACCTCAATGTCTCCTCTATTGTGCAATGTGATGTGTTATTGTTGATCTTTAGGTGTATTAAACAGACTTTCAGGTTAGAATCACTTTCAGGATTTTATTATCTGAAGATAGAAATTAGAACTTTCAAAGAGTCTGAGACTAAAATTTAATGTCAAATTTAAGAAAATAATTGCAAAACAAAGGTAAGAAGACTGGTTATCAATCTTAGTATTTATTGAAAGGTGGAAGACAAGGAAAATAGCCTCTCAAATGCCAAAAACAAATCTGTACCTTGGCTAAAGTGAATAATTGCTTTACATATCAATAAAATGTCCCTCTACCCCCAAAAAACTGAAAGTTTACCAAACAATGCTAATTTATTATTTACACAAAAAAAAAAACAAAAAACAAAAAAACTTTACCTGCCACAAAACTGAATTTAGAAAGCAAAATCTTATTTTGTGTACATTAATTAAATTTCTTAAACATTTAACCTAAGAAAATCTTTCCTCAACTGCCTACCACTCCCATTTTGGAAACAAACATTTCAAACAAGTTTATAGAGAAATGCATACATACATATAATACACAGTGTTGTGCTAAACCAACCTGATCATTAAGGTCAATAGTCCTGTCATAAGGAAGATAATCAATATATGGCTTTATGTAAATTTGCAACTAAATATCAAAAATGTTTAATTCTTTTGATAGCTAACCTGAGTATTGGATATATACTACTTAGCTAAGAGGATATAAATAAAATGAGGAAAAAAAGAGAAAAAAGTATGTATGTGTGTATATATATATATATATATATATATATATATATATATATATACCACTGAGATACCTAAGTTTTTATGTGAAGGTATGTATATTACTTAACAACATTTAACAATCACTCTGTATAGCATATGACCTTATTAAAACTGTATCTTAAGTGCTTTATTGTTCTGGTCCAAGATACTGGAAATAAAAAAAATCTTTTATTCACATGGAGAATGGAAATATACTAACTAAAAACCATTAATATGCAGTATTAAAATAGGTATTTGTGTGTATCAAAGGTAGTCAACAAGTTATCAGATGGGCATCTGAAGAGGATTTTTAAAAATAACCCGTAAGACCAGGGGCATAAGCATGATTCAAGTCTATAAGGCTTTATTGAAACCTTGAGCCTGTTGGTTACTCATACCTCACCTTCACAGAGATGTATGCATTTGACAAATCAATTTAATCTTTCAATTATGGATAACTGACTATGGTTTACATAAAAGCAACAACTATACTGTCTCAGACATGCCTTCTTTTAAGCTAAAAACATAAGGCTCATATATTATGGAGACAACTTAACAGCATTTTCTTACAATATGACATCAGTGTGTTTAGATATATGTGACTAGAAATAAAACATACTGTGTTAAATATATCACCCTCAATTTAAAAATGACATTTTAACAGTATCCCTTCCTATGTCTTAATACTCATTTATTAAGAATTTGTTTCTCAGAAAGATGGTGAAGAACCCTAAATTTAGCTTAAAGTGGTTTGAGTACAGTGAAAGACAGCTAGTTACATATAAAATAAAACCCCTATTTACACTGTCATGATTTTTAACTTCTCTATTCCATAAAACATCCCCCACTACAAACATACTGAGTTCCTACAAGCCACCAAGATTTCCTATTTTATTTGCCTATCTTCTTTTTAAGTTGGGAGATAAGATTCCCCATTGTTGCTAACGTTGATTTTCATCAGTTCTGGTAAAAACATTTTTCTAAGTGGTCTGACCAACTAGAAGCATGAGCTTTGATGGCTTACCCAAAATGAGACGAAAATGGAACCCACTGAAGGGAAACAGCAGTCTCCCAAAAGGCAACGCAGCACAAGGAAAGCCACCTGAAAGTCACCAATCAAGATAGGGGCCAGAGTACTACAAAAAACAAAACGTTTGTGATGCTTAGACTCCTTCCATCCACACACATCCAGAACGCAACTTTTAATTATGGAAGTGAAAGCAGACTGTGCTACTCACCTTGTAGGCACTGGTCACCCTGTTTCCTACACAGTGAACTCTCTAGAGCATCTCTAGAATGCTGCACTGACATCTGCCTGGTGGCTGGGGAGGGTCCTGAGAAGGATGGACTGACAGTGTGTGTCAGCTACATCTGGAGGTGGGGCTGAGAAAAGGATGGACTGACA